GAGTGAAGTGACTACTGGGTGAGATCGTGCTGACTTATTTAGTCCACGTCTCACACTTCAGGAGTGGTTGTTTCTTTGCATTACTGCAAAAGGAAACTTGGGAGTGAGTGGCTTAAGTAGAGTTGTTTGTCTCTGGTCAGATGAATCCTATCCTAAATTTGCAGGTTATAAGTGTTTAAACTTTGTCTGAGAACAGCAAGGGATGTATGACAATTTTCTGCTGGGAAGTTTCTATTAGGTGTTACTATTATTGAGACAGTCAGCAGAAATAGATTCTAATTGATTCTAATACAGGATTGTCCTGATATTTAGTGTACTAAGAATCCCATGTTTGGAAAGGAAATAGATATCTCTTCCATGAAGCAGACTAAAGTGCAACAGAAAAATAATTACTCTATCTTAAGTCCCAAATGTGAACATTTATCTCATTTGTCTTCTGAGCCTTTCAATAGCAAGTCTGCTGATCTTTGCTGTACCAACCCTATCTGCAATAACATAGCTTGGTTTAATTGAGCTAAACACATTCAGGTGATGACAGTACCATGTTCAAAACAGGACACAAACTTACCACACATACTGTAGTTATCATCATTTTTAGAAACACGTTTGAAAAGTCTGAACGTTTCCCCCCAATTATTGTTAAGTGTGCGTATTTTACTGACATTGCAGTAACTTGCCTTCCCTTATCTGCAGTGTAAATGACCCTATTCATTTGTAGCTAAAATTGTCCTCCCTAGAGTGCACTGGCTTCAGGAGAATTACAACTTGCATGATTTCAGCTGATGGAATCTACTGCAGATATATAAACTGAAGAGGTAACACATTTCTGGCAATACATGATAAAAGAAGCACTTGGCAAAGGTCAGCTTTTCAGATGTCTTGTGGAAATCTCATTAAGCACAATCTTCTGATAGGTCCTCTTCTTGTGCCTCAGTGTCTGTACCAATTGTCCTGAATTTATGATTGAAGTGCAACATCTCTGTGACTGTTAACTTCAAGTTCGAAGGTCCCAGTGTAATTAAGATAACCTCAAAGTTAAATTTAGCAGGTAAGACTTTTGATAAAACTCTTTGAATGAACTCTATTGTATGAAAGTAAAACAATTTTTAAATTATCAGTCTTTCTGAATATAGCTAAGGCTGCTAAGATTTGAGTGAAAGGTAAATTCCTAAATATTTGAACAAAAAAGCCCTGCTAAAGCTATTATTCTGCAAGCAGTGCCTATCCTAACTTCAGTTTTATATTTTAAATCCTAACTGTTGTCTATCCTGATGATTACTTTTCAAGCTGCTGTAAAAAGACTAGGTCAGTGCATATATTAAAAGAGTGCAGGTACAGAGATCAGAAATAAAAACAGATAGTCCAAAAGTTGTAATGAACTGTAGTTCAGTTCTGAGGCAAAACTCATGACTACCAGCATTGTTGCCGCCTACAAACTCCTGCTGCATAGTTGAGCCATCAACAAATAGCTAATATTTGTGTGGTGACATTTTGTATGTAACTGGTTCTCATCTGACAGGCTGCTATAAAAGGAAAAGATAGATAACAGTAAAAAAAAAAAAATATTTTGTATATTAGATATGACACAGTGAGATGACATACCTGTGTTTCTGTTCTGAAGGAGGTGCTTCTATGTGGAAACAAAATACTTCATGACCTTGAGGTTTCTTCCAGAGCATATTTTGTTCTCCTTACATGAGCAGTGATGTGTGAGCTTGATAGGCCGGTTCTTAAAATCTGCATTATATTCCCCTTTCAGAAGGATCTAAGGTACCAGAGAGTCTTCATTTATATTTTAGAAGGTTCTGTGTGTCTACATGATTTTCTGACCCCGTACTTGTTCAGGATGCTTTATCCCAGATCCCAGCCTTACAGAGCTCTCTGCAACCTCTGGGGCAGTGCAAAGGTCTTTGGATCAAGGTGGCTGCCAGAAGAGTAAGCAATAAAGAACAAAGCAGCTCCAAAATGCTAAGGGTTGAGTCACAAAGAGTATTGCAGGGTTTAAACTCCTCGGCATACTGAGCTGATGTAGAGAAGAACTTGTATCATTTGTTGATCAGAATGAGCCTGCACAATGCTGCAACCACTATCGGTAAACTCCTGTCAGCTGTGCTGTATTGAACTGAGAGGAAAAAAACCCTGCAAGATTGAAACCTAGAAGTAAAACTAAATATAATTTGGGCAGCTGAATGACTGATGTGTGTCCCAGTGGAGGCATTATCCAGCGTGCATTCTTCTGGACCACCCTTGGCCCAAGTCATAGACCTCCAAAGATCACAAAGAAAAAAAGTTTGGAGTACATTCAAAGGCAAATAGGTGGTAAATATTTACATGGATTACAAATGATGAAGTAGCCCACTAGATGTGGAAAGATGCAAGTACTTAATGCATTGGGGGAAAAAAAGCAAGAATATCTTGTACTTTTGGAATGCTGCTGTGGCAATGTATTTCAAGGACAGAGACTTCCCAAGTGAACTGCTGTCCATTGAATCAGCTTTAGTCTCGACCTTATTGAGGTATATGAAATATATGAACAGTCTACCAATGTGCTGGTAATTTAAATGATAGATGCTGATAAGAACTTTTCTCCTTCCTGCCTAAGCTTTACTCAAAGTCTTCCATTAAAATATATAATTGAGTACCTAGACAACTGCATTTTGATTTGCATCTATTGCCAATGCAATATATCTTTCAGATAAGCCTTTCATGCATTACTTTCAATAATAATGTTTTAAATTAAAAGACTGCTTCCATCAGCATAATGAAGCAAGATAGCCAAGAAAATAGCTGTGTGTCTGAGCACAGAAATTCATTAAGTAGGAAAAAAATCCATGAAACAGTGATGATAACAGGAAAAATATTGAGCCTCAAAGATAACAACACTGAAAGCAGAACCTGCATTTAGGGCTTACTTCATGGGACAGGTTGTTTTCTCTTTCTAGAGTTGTTTGGTTTTTTGTGTTTTTTTTTTTTTTTTTTTTTTTTTTTTATTCTGAGAAATCAAATAAAATTTTGGCAACTCAGTCACTTTTAAGCTGCCATAAGCATATGGGATTTTACTAGCACAAAACCTGTTGCTGATACTGATATATGGAATAATCCATTATTCTCCTTATGTAAGTATTAGTACTAATGACTTCTCTTCTTCCAATACTAAGAAACATACAATTTAATAATGACAAATATCACTGCTCAAAGAAGGCAACTTAATGTAATCAAGATATTATGCTTTCTAATTGCCTGCCTGGTCTCTATTTAAGATGCAGACTGTATATGTGTTACCTATATTTATCTTAGAAATAAGCTGTCCTCATAAAGTCCTCTTCTAAAAGAAGTATTTGTGGCTGTTCTCCACACTAAAATACTTTTACCTTCCCCAGAGTATAAAGAACTTGCATAGTGAGTGCTAATGAGACACATACTCGTCTCTCAATTGCATTCTCTCTTCCTCCTCTACGTTATTTCTTTTCTTCAGCAAATCAAGGCAGTGTTAAGCAAGAAAACTCATACCTGTCTGATTGTTCTCTGCACCCCTGCCTGTCTGCTGAGCTGTGCTGCTGCTTTTGACAGGCTGTGGGAAGTCAGGAACGCAGAGAGGGTTTACAGGAGAAGCTGACACTCTGCATACATCCAACCTCAGACGAGTTTTATAACTCTGATAGCTGGCTCCACTGACTATGCAAAGACAAAAGGTTCTGCCTGGGACAGAACAACCCTTTGCTGCTGGAGTACAGATGGTATGAAAGCGTTTTGTATGACAGAAGGTGCTATAAAATGTTTGGCTCACTAAAGTGTGCTGTCAAGACCTGTTTTCTTTAAGCTGCTGGTCTGTCATTGCCTTTTGAAAACCAGCATGCAGCCAGCAAACCCATCTCCATCAGAACCAGAAAAGGTTTCCCTATTTGCACTTTGCTTCCATTTTCTCCCACCAGGTAATTTCTCTCTGTAATGCCACCACAGGTATTATAGCAGAATTAATGAATAATCAAATTTTCTCTTGTACTAAGTGCAAAACAGTAAATAGTAAGGGAGGAAGTAGGTTCTAATAACAATCAGGGAAAAGAAAAGAGAAGCTTTCAGACCAAGAATTCCTCTCACCTGAATCTGCTGAACTTTCCAGATACAGCATAAAACTCCTCCTTTTCTTTATGTTGGGTACAGATGTACTGAGAGGCACTGGCTCTCAGTTGTTAAAAATCTACAATTAGGTGCTATGAAAATGTCATCTCTTTTTGCAAGACTGCATGTGGCAAACCCAGAAATAATATCAACCACACAGTGGTATGAAATGGCTACAGGCTAACACAGAAATTGAAAAAGTCTCACAAAATACCTGTGATGAGCTAACATCAAAAGAATTTAGGTTCAGCTTGGCACCAAGAAATTTGGTTAAGCAAGGTAATGAACACTGCTGTGCTTTTGATCTTCAAAATGTCTTACAAAGGTTAAGTCTTTAAAATATATCCGTGAAATGAAGCGTTATATTGGCACCATTGTTCTTTTCCCCCTCAGCTAAAGTAGATGTTGAGTGTTTAAAAGTCCACGGCTGTGGAGAAGGTCAGATCTACTACTGCAGACTAAGCTTCTTCTGCAGTGTCTGAATTTCTCAGACTGGGCTAGACATTCTTCATCTATTCAGTCATCCCTCCATTGGCCACTGCTCTCCTTTTCTCAAACTGATTGTTCCCTCTGACATCTTTTTCCTGGCTAGTCTGCAGCTTTCCACTGCACTACATGCACTCAGATTGCCCAGGTAAGCCTGCAATCACTCTAGAGGTTGACCTGGCTGCCTTTCCCTGCTCTATTATTGTAGAGTTCTTGCAGTGCAGATTTCTCTCTACTTCTCTAAGGAAAGGTCAGTCTCACAGAGCTCAGCAAAACCCTCTATTCAAAGTGCTTTGCAGAATACCTATGGAAGACCCAACTAAATGAATTTGTTCTTTAAAGCAGGTACATCACATGTGTGGAGTCTCCACGCATGAGGGTAGAAAGCAACTCACCATCTCCTGCGTTTAGAATCAGCTTGGAAAAGCTGCCTCTGGGAACTGGACTGGAAGTAGGAATTAAATCACCCTTAGCAACACTGGATGCTGCCAAAAACCTGCGAGAAAGCAAAAAAATCATAATACAGACTCTGTAAATGACAACGAATGATGTCTACTTCAGAGGAAGGAAAAAAAATTTAAGAAGCCCTAAACTAATTTTCAGGATCTCTTCAAATAACTGGGAATCATTCTTTAAAGGCTTACAGGCCAGTGTCAGGAAACCCCCAGGGAGTTCACATAAGAGCATTGCTGGCGATCTCTGAAATTCTTTGTAATGAGCTAATTAATGACCAGCAAGCACCTTGCGGGATTTGACACTCCAGAAATTGACTCCACTTGAGGAAGGCAAGAAATCGAAAAACCTGCCCTGTACTTTTCTGAAGATAAATGATCAGTTAGAGGAGAAGCTGGAGGAAGCCTGTGGTGTTTAGCCAAGCCAGCAGTTTCAGGGTATCTCATGCTCTTAGCACCCAAGTGCATCTGTCAGGTGCTAATTGCCAACTCCCACTGACTGCAGTAGGAGCCCAGGGCACTTGGCATTTTGCAGTATTAAGCTGCTGTTATTAAGCTAAAGACATAAACATGCCAGTATGTGTTGTTTGAACTGCAAGGCATTGTTTCTTGGATTCTCAAAATATTAAGGTTTTTTTTCTTTTTTTCCCCTCCAGTTAGCAGTGTGTCACAGTAAGCAACTGCCTAAAGAAGAAATATAATGCAAAAGGATATGCACTGTGAAGTCTGCTCTGTGAAAAGCAGAAATACATCGTTCTACCAAGAGTAGGCTGATTTAATTTTAAATACAAAATCTTTAAATGGCTAATGTGCTTAAAACATAGAAAATCAGATAACAAAAGCAGTTCTTGTTTCAAAGCAGAAGAGCAGTCAGTGAGAAAAATGAATAAAAAGAAAACAAAGTGACAATTAAGGAACTAGCACTGATTTCCTGGGGAGAAAAAAAAAAAAAAGGATAAAACCTAATAATTTTTCACACATTGTCAAATAACATGGTAATTTATCCAGAATATAATTATACTAACAGTTGGCTGTGACTTGCTATTAGATGAGTTCTTACAGCTCTGGGCAGGTTTTGAGGATGGTTGCAGGCCCATTTGTTTTAGCACTTGGCATCATGGCCTCAATTCTTGGAGGTGTGCAAGAAACAACTGGGCATGGCCCTTAATGCTGTGGTTTAGTTGACAAGGTGGTGTTTGGTCAAAGGCTGGACTCAATGACCTTGGAGGTCTTTTCCAACCTTTATGATTCTGCTGGCTAAGCTAGGATAGCAAGTGTTTCGGTTTCTTGAGGTCATCAGTGCAACTTTGGTGGGAAGTCCAGGTTTCTATTGCTAAAGGAGGGGCAAGAACCTCCCTGTCAGGGAGACACCCAGCAAATCATGAGTTATAACATCAGTGCTGTATGTGCTGGAAAAAACTGAAAAAGGAAGAGCTCTCAGTACTCCTGTACCCATGCTACTGGTAGACGTAAGATTTATATCTTTTCAAAAATTAGTCTTCTGCTCAGTACAGAGTATTAACCTTCAAAATGTAACTTATTTGTGGTGATGATAGAGTTTAAAAAGTAAAATGAGTGTCTGCACTCCCTCTTTCCCTGCTCTCCTTTGTAATTCAGATTTCTCTCTCTCTCGGCAAGGTCAGGAAGTACAGAAGGTAGAGGGGCCAGCATGACGTACTATGGGAATATGCAGCACTCAAGACATGATGATGTACTTTGCTGTGTCTTATTAAGCATCCAACAGATGACCATCAATAACTGATCAAGGTAGAGGTCCTTTTCTCTGGTTTTCCTTGGAAATTGTTAGTGTAACCATTGTCTTCATTCTTTTCTCTGACCACACTCCATTAGCTGTGGCAAAACTGTGTTCTGTGTGAGAGTGCAGGAGTGCACAAGAGCTGGGATAATTTTAGGGTGATCTTAAAATACTCAAAAATATTTCCATCTTCAGGGGTGAAAGGAGGGGAAGCTGGCTTGAGACCTTGCAGGCTATGTTTCGTTCCCAGATAAGAAATTATAGGTATCAGACTGTCTAGGTAGCACCTACACACCTCAGAGATTTTGTTTGGCCCCTCTAGACAAACAAAAAGTCTGTTTCTTTGCAAACCTGAGGTTCTTTTCATACATGCCTTACTCCTACAGTCTATCCTTTGCCTATCCTCCTTGACCTCCAGCTTCTGCATCTTTGCATTTTCATCTTCCTCGCAAACGTGTTTGCCAGCTCCCTGCTCTTTGCACTCAGGCCATTCCTAGTTGCATTCCCTTTTTCTCTCCTGGTCCTCTAATGCAATAATGAACATTTCTGAAACGTGTGTGCTTATTCAGTCAAGAATTTCATCGTTGGCACTGCCATCCAATGACTTCATTCTTGTCTGAATGGAGAGAGAGCGTCCTCTGAAGGGGATCTGGAGGCCACCTGGGTTCTTAGATCACTGTTTGCTCCTTGTTATCTAGCTTGGAGTGCTGCCAGGCATTCCTGTGCAGACAGATTTGCAAGCTGCCTACAAGCTCTTGAGAAGACCTTGTCTGCATGGGAAGGGAGGATGGATGTGGGAGTCTTTGTTGATGAAAGAGCAGTGTGGATGTAGATGTTGTACCTCGCCATTTTTAATTATCATTTCATTATCATTACCTTATCATTTCCTGTTTAATTAAAATGTATGTATGCTGGACCGAGTGGTTCAGCACAGGAACTGAACAGACATCTCCAAGGTGAATCCTACACAGCTGGCAAGTAAGGTTCATATGGAATTATGCTTTCTTTAAACTTTCTAAGAACATAAAAAAAAAAATGGTAATGCTCAATGAGTGACTTAGGCTGGTTTTAGAATAGTGATTGCTATAAACTGAGGACAGAGAGGAAGACATTACAAAACCAAAGAAACAAGGACTTTTTGAAATATTGATAAGCTAGTTACAATCAGAGTAATTTTTGTTATGACAGAACATCCCCAGGTAAAGGGAAAAATTAGAAAACAACCCCAAATCCTATGAACTCACTATTTTGTTTAATAAACATAAGCCAAGCTTTTGACAGATTAGCAGTGGTTTTTTGTATATATGAGAACTTCATATTTCTAAATATAAACAACATTCTTTTTACCCAATATAAAATCATTTCCCATCTGCTCAAAATCCCAGTAATCTCAGTTTATGCGTGGCAGCAACTTCCTTTAGGAAGGTAGTCCAGCAGAAGTAATTCTGGACCTGCCTCCATCTCTGTAGCATATTTATTGCTTCCATCGCTTCTCAAGCCTCAGGGTACTCCTGCTTCAAGTCTGAATATTTATTATGTCAGGTTGAAGTCTGCCAGTAACCAAAAAGCAGAGCTACCAACCCCAGCCCTCCTTTCCTCGCAAAGACACTGTTATTATGAGAGCTTTGGTCTTGTGAAACACGGTGGGAAAAGTCTTATGAAATGTGTGGAATACAAAGGCAAGCTTTTTTTGTGGTTAAAAGTAGCATCTGCAATAATTCCAAGACTAAAACTGGCTGTCTTACTGTGTGGAGGATGCCAAATAAGACTTTTTAAAATGGTATCTTGCACTAAGATAATTATGGGAGACGAGAAGCTTTACATGAATCTAACAGCTGTTTAGAAAGCTCAGCTGGCAGCATCATTTGCTATCAGGCAGAAGACCTATGTTCAGAATCACACACAAATGTTTGTCTCCTCAAAAGCCAGCAGGAAGTGTAGGTGGCATAAAGAAAATGACAGCCTTATTGCAAAGGCAAACAGAAACCTCTCTGTGATCTTGAGCTGAGCTTGTGCTTCCTGTATAAAAGCTGCAAGGAGTTAGAAGCAGATAATACTCCCTTGAGTGTCTTGACGTCCATAGCTGGATGAGAACTCTGTTTTTATTTAAATTTACAGTGGCTGCATTGGATATTCAGGAAAATGATGGATCAGGACAGTCCTATAAATCCCAAACACATACGTAGCATAGCTTTTCAGAAATAACTTACAAAACAGCCTTCCGGAGAAGAAGTAGTCCAAAATAATGATAGCACACTGACAGTGCAATAAAGAGGAATTCATTATTCTGACTGCAGGGGTTGACAATGACCAGAGGGCAAATGAATAAAATAAGAAGGAAGAGCCTATGCTCAAATGTCAGAAACTCCCTGCCACAAATGAAAAAAAAAAAAAAAAAAAAAGAAATGTGCTCAAGATGTGCTTACTCTGTGTAGGAATGATGATGATAACGTTATCTGAGCACAGTAAATATTTCTGAGCATGAAGCTGAGGATGAAGTGTTATATAATATAATTTGTGTATAAATGAATTATTCCTTTCCAATGTTCATTGCCATGAAAAGAAATCTTTGCCATCTAAGGGTGAAGAGAATGGCAGCAAAAATGAAGGGTTAAATTTGTAGAATGGTTGGTTTTGTGAACAATTTTTGTAGACAATTTTAAAGCTACTGTTCAATTCTAGAAACAAATCTGATTGTGATAATTGTTTCTTTTATTACCTAAAGAGGATAATATCTATTCACAAGTGCAACTACTTAAATATTAAATTTTGCAGGCATAAATTGCACCCTCAGATAAGATCTTGATCCCACAAAGGAACAGCAATAAGCTGTTTTTCTGGAGTTATTTAGTTCTAAACAAACTTCGTATGCAGTCTCTATGTTTTTTATTTTTAGTTCTTCCTTCTTTGTTAATGAATGCTTTTGTAAGAAGGAAGGATTTTAGTTCCGTATTTTTCTTCCTCTGACATTTCCTATATGAACTTACAATCCTCTCATAGCTTGTATGGAGAGGATTAGAACATGCCATCACCAGCTGCAGATGAGGATTTAAAGCAGGGACGGACAGGAGGAGCAGAAGGATGAGACTGCCCGACCTGTCTTGATTCAGACTGTGTGGATGCTTTGTGCCAACCTGTGCTGCTGCAGGAAGTTAAGTCTGCCTTCCACACCTGTCCTCATCTTATGGCAAGGGAAAATTGTTTGTTGTTGAAGAGGATGAAAGACTGATTTCTCTATTGCACATTGCTCCTAAAGATCCATTTCTACACAAAGGTACTTGGCTCATA